GAATGAAAACACGGATAGTCCTTGTCCGTATACAGTTCGAGATAATAGAGTTCAATCGTGGAACGTGCTATGCGATTCGCAAAAATCTTGATCGATTCTCCGATAACCGTTACCAGTATTTCCCGAGTGCATTGTACCGCGTGTAAAGCTTCTCATTGATTATTGCAGCACGATCCGGTTACGATTTTATCGGGTGCAGAGAGGAACGTCCGAATGGTAGGGCTTTATTTCCAATCTATAATCGCGCGATTACGGACCCTCCGCTAATTCAACGGAGTCGCCTAAATGAAACGAACCGAACGAACCCCGCTTACAAGATAATAAACCGTTTTTACAAATGCCCCTTAACACCGGAAATATTCGCAGGATTCCATTTGCGCGGTAAATCCTGTAGGCAGCTATCGTTCGTTTCATCGGTTTTCTATCGCATCGTTGATGGCCGACCGACCCAGTTGAATTCGTTCGATTCGGAAACAACCTTTCCGATTTTTCTCCACGATTCCCGATTTATCTATTTCAACATTTATGGAGAATTCTCATTGGAAACTCGTTACTCGCCGAAAATCTACTTGCCGTTTTCATTGGAATTTTCATTGGAATTTTCATTGGAATTTTCATTGGAATTTTCATTGAAACCAGAGAGAACGTTACAACAATTTCAACATTTTTCGCTGTGATTTCTCGCACGAATGAAATTATCTTCGATTACCTTGTAAATACAAACAATTGCTGATTACATAATCGACATTGCGAAAGTGTTTTAGCTTTCGTTTAAATGGCTTTCGACGAAGATACGTATAGCCCTCTGCTTGGAATTAGCTCGGTTAGAATCGACTAATCGGAGAAATTGAAAATGGAAGAAACAGGAATAAAGTTGCGTTGGACACGTAGGAAATTTGCTTGACCGATGCATCGGAACCGGGTTGCGCGCAACAGCCACCGGCGGTGACGCCGCTGCCGCCGCCGACCGCGCTTTCTTCGTGACATAATATTATTTAACCCAGAATAATGCTGTGTATGACGCTTGCGTAACGATAGAATTCACATGCCGGTAATTCGCGACACGGCTGCGAACGCGACGCTGGTTCTTTTATTATATAAACCGGCGAGTTTGCGCGTTGCCGAGCAACTACCACCACAAACGCCACCGACCGCGTCGCGACGAGATCTCTCGGCGACTTTTCCAGGGATCGGATGAAATTATTGAAATTCTCCATTACTCGCGAAACTACTGTCATTCCGAGAGCATCATCTTTTCGGAAAATTCCGTTTTCTGGGAAACGTCCTAGTCGAACGAGACCATCTCTTTCGAATTCTTCGAAGAATTCGCATAAAGTTCCACAGTCTACTCGTTATCGTGTCTCTTATGGTTTGAAAAATTCCTCCGGAACGTAAGTGTATCGGGTGAATTGAAATGTTCTTGTTTCGCAGTCTAGTCGTAAAATGGCAATTATTTCCTAACTAATTCGAAGTTTAAACAGTTTCGTTCGAGCCCAGTTCAGCTCCGAATCGGGCGCCTGGCGCGGTTCAAAAGAACGTCGAAACAAGATAATGCTATGCAGAGTGCGACGTTAAAGTCTCCTATGTAGCATTGGTATTCCGGGAAGCGCACACGCCTCTCATCGAGGAGCAACGAGGAAAGTTAGAGAACGTCGTCGTCGTCGTCGTCGTCGTCGTCGTCGTGCCGTTGCATCGCTAACGTGACTCCCCGCTCATGATTCTTCTTTCGTGAGTCCTCGTGATCCCTCGTAATTCGTGATTCGCGATTCGCGATTCGCCGTTCGCCGTTCGCCGTTCGCCGTTCGCCGTTCCCCGTTCGCCGTTCGGCCCTAAAGGTCGGCGTGAAACGCGAGATGCGCCGTCTTACGTAACCACGGCTTCTCTTCTACTTCGTTCTGGTTCCTCGTGCTACCCGCAGAGATCCACCTCGGGCTAGAAATTACTTCATCGCCTTTAATCTTCGCGGGGTTAGCCATTATTCGAATTGCTACGAATAGATGTTTCGTGTAATAGGTTGATCGAGTGGTTCCGAATAATAGTGGACTGCTCCTATTCCTATTTCTATTCCTATTTCTATTCCTATTTCTATTCCTATTTCTATTCCTATTTCCATTCCTATTCCAATCACTGAAATAAATAATAAACAATAAACAATTATTAACGGTATTAATAAGATTATTATTGTAATATTGGTGTCTGCAATTGTTTATCTCGAAAACTCAGAAATAGGAATCGGAGCAGTATTATTTCAAGCCACTCGAATATAGACATTCGATCGACGTCTTTCCATTTATTCGATCATAAATCTATTTTCAATTTATATATTTCTCCATCGGCATTTTAACGCAACTTTACGAAATTCACTAAAGTGAATACTAGATTTATCATCAGCGTTTGACAATTCTAACATAACAGATATAACAGATAATTATTTATAGTTATTATCAGCTACATCCATGGTCGCTTCGGTGGTATAAAAATGTTACGGAAATATGATCGAAGTAAAGAGTGTGTATCGTTTATCGCGTTAAGAAAGAATTTCATCGAGATTCGAGTGGAATGAAAAGAAGAGGGAATCAGAGTATCGAATAGAGTAGCTGTAAAATTGTAAAATCATTTCTCCCCGAGGAGCCCGTATTTGCTGGAATGAGAACTACTCGTTCGTCACGATATTATTAGTATCCCGGTAAAGGGTTTCACTTTATAACTTTCAGCGAAGCATACGCTACATCATTTCCGATTTGCAGCATCTATCGCGCTGATGCAACACGCGCGGACGACTTTGCGAGAAGCTCTCTCAACCGCATCTGCAATTATGTTGACGCAACACCCAGAGACGCTCAGATTCACTTTCTCTCATCTTTTTAGCTCCCGTCGCATCTTTCGACAATTGCCGATGTAATATCCGTCATTAGCTATTAGAATACACCTGTCTTATCGATTATCCAACGATCGACACACAGGATATCTTTATTTCTCGATCGCATTTATATCGTTCCTTTCCTTTCCGCGCGTATCGCGTTCCAAAAGAATTTTCCAGTTGGTTACTTTTCATATAGCTGGCGCAGAATAATGAAATCTTGCAATCTCCTATTCTTCTATTCTTCTATTCTTCTATTCTTCCATTCTTCCATTCTTTTACTCTTCGATTCTAATTGAAAAGCAAAAGACGGAGCGCGAGCGATGGAACGGTTGTCGATATAATATAGAGAGAAATTCTTCGACTTGGCGTGTTCTTCGATGCTATTCCAGTAAGAAACTGTTCTGTTTGGTAAGAAATTATTTCGAAGAAAAGTACTTGCCATTTCGCTTCTCTGGACAAACGAATCGAGGCAAAGTCATTCCCATCGTTCTTCGCTTTCACATTTTACACTTTATGAAATATGGATCTTTCGATATCACGTAAGAAAAGAGAAGACGAAGAAGAAGAAGAAGAAGAAGAAGAAAAAGAAGAAGAATGAGCATTCGAATAACATTAGGTGAAAAATTGGTCGATTCGGTTGAAATTGAAGATCAAAGTAGCGACAACTATACGTTCCGTTTGAAACGTTACAGAGATTCACGCTTCCTCTCCTCTTTCGTCCGCGTTCGACCTCGAGCCCCCATCGAGCGCCAAGAGTCGCCGTATCCATTATTTATAATCCAGGCTAAATAACAATCCCTCGGCGTCTTGCATCAGTTTTATAATTTAATCGTCGAGTTCTCACCGAGATCGCGTTATACGCGAGCATGAATCCGCCGCGTGCTCCGTGCCGATTACATAAAAGTCGCGGGGCAAAGAGAACTTTTTGTTCCCGGGGAAAGGCCCTTGTACACGATGAGAGTCGTCGAAGGACATGCCACCTTTCGTAGATCTAACCTATTCCGCTGTCGGGTCAGCTCAATAAATGCAACCTCAGACTTGCTGGAACTTTTCTTCGAGCTTGGTGGAACGAAAAGCCCAAGCATTCGAGACTCGGACTAATTCTAAGCCTTTGTCTTCGATGAGACAAGTTCGCGTCGCTTGTCCCGAGACATGTCCCTAGACGCGTCTCATCGTGTATAGGGGCCTCGACGAACACGCGCCTCTCGATCGGCCCGAACCGCTCTCGACCGACGCGGGACGAAAAACGTAGTCCGTTTGGCGCGTGATTGTTTGGTAAGTAAGCGGTCGATCGACGGGCCAAGTGTCGATCGCGGATAACAGGGT